TTGGTTGGGCTACGTTCACCCACCAGTCTCCTCCACTGAAATGCGAATGCTCTGAAAAATACAACTGTGTAGTACTGAGGTCTGAACCCAAAGGCTTTACCCCTGAGCTACATTCCAGCCCTCTGTATTTTCAGTTTTGAGACAGGGTCTTCTCAAGTTGCCCAGGCTGGGCTCAAACTTATGATCCTCCTGTCTCAGCCTGCAGGGTAGTTGAGGGGGTCTACTACTGAGCCCGCTTTTTTTTTTTTTTTTTTTTTGAGAGCATGTTTGTGATTTGTTCAAAGTGCTCATGTTATACCTTTAGCAGATGCTCAATGACATTTATGAAAGCACCCCTTAGTAGCACAGTCTCCTAACTCTATGACAGGACTGATAGTACACTCTCATAAGGTTGTTGTGAGTTTTTGTTTGTTTTGTTTTGATTCCCCCCACCCCGTTAAGACAGGGTCTCATTATGTAGTTCAGGCTGGCCTTGAATTCACCTACGTGGCTCAGGTTGGCCGCAAACACTCAGCAATCTTCCTGCCTCAGTCTCTCCAGTGTTGAGATTACAGGCAGGGGTTGCCATGCCCGGATGCTGAAACATTAAATGAGTAATGTCAAGTGCCTAGAATACTTTGAAAGTACTTAGTAAGCATTCATTCTTATTGTTGTTTGTTTTTGGTACCAGGCACTGAACTCAGGACTGTTCTTGCAAGGCAGGTAGGCACCACTGAGCTAAATGGTTCAATTTAAAGATTAACAATAAGAGAGTAGGCCAGGAATTTAGCTCAGTGGTTCGGCCGCCTGCCTCACAAGCGCAAAGTCCTGAGTTTGATCCCTGGTACAAAAAGAAAAAAAAAAAAAAACGTAAACTGAGGCATTTGAAACTGTCACTTTTATAGGCCAAAGTTTGACAGACACCAGCAGTTTCATGATAACTCAATTCATGCCTTTCAAAGAAACAACAGGAAAAAGAAAATCATTAAAAATACATTCACTTGAGCTCCCTGGTTTTCAGTATTACAGTTATTCTTCTACTTTTCCATGGTTTAGTATATTATTTCCTATTCTCAGGGGAAAACCTCTTGAAGTAGTTTGCTGAAATTTCTCCCAAAGTGGCAGTCTCATATCAACAAGGGGCTGGGGGAAACAGGTATCATATCCCAAAGGAGGGCTGGGGATTTGGCTCAGTGGTGTTGCACTTGCCTCGAAAGTGCAAGGTCCTGAGTTTGATCCCTGGTACCAAACAAAAATGATAATAATAATAATATCCCAAAGGACACCAGATCTTTTATTCTCTTCCTGAATGTCACAAAATTAATTTTGTTTTGCTATTTTAAAAATGTTCTGGGGCTGGGGATGTAGCTCAGTGGTGTGGCGCCTGCCGGGCAAGTGTGAGGCCCCGAGTTCGATTCCCCATACCAAAAAAAACAAAGGCCCAAAACTGAAATGCAGATGTGTGTTAGAATGTGTAACTATCGCTGGATAGAATCTTGTTACAGGTTTGTTCCATTATTTGTTTTACATTGATTTATGCAAGAATGTATTAAGGTAAAGTTGTATTTACAGCAATCCTTTATGTCAAGTGAAGTGACAGCTAACTGGATTCAACGTTAACTGACCATTAAAGAACAAGGACATTTGAGATGAACCCTGTAGACACAGATACCCATTCAAGTTTCTTTTTAACGTTCCTTTTGTAGATTTGGTTCTTTTTATTTATTGTAGTACCCAGGACCTTTGTACTGAACTACACCCCCAGCCCTTTTAAACAATATTTATTTTTTAACTACTCAGCTCATTTCAACAAAAAATAAAATACAGAGATACAGTAAAAGAGCAGCTGCTCCCTGCCCCAGGTTAAACTCCTGCTGTAGGGTAACAGCCATGCCACTGGCTCCCGCTGCTGAGTCACTGTTTTCTGAGAGGGAGGAGAACTTCCCTTATCAGGGTGAAAAACACAATTCAAACACTGCTTCTGTCCAAGAAGGAATGTATCATACAGTGTGTAAATTTATAGCCAGAAACCAACAACATAAAGAACAAAGAATCCAGGCTGAGAGAGATGGAATGAAAGCCACAGTGTGCTCTGGAGGACGGTCAGGGATTGAATTTAGGGTTCATGGATGCTCCCTGAAGCTCAGGCCCCAGGCACATGGAGGCTTAGGGGAAACAATTTTTTTTTGCAGTACTAGGAATTGAACCTAGGGTGTTTGCATTGAGCTACATCTCCAGCCCTTTTATTCATGTATCTTTCAGGGCTTTTTGGGCTAGGGTCTCAGTATGTAGTTCAGGCTGACCTTGAACTCACACACCTATGTAGTACAGGCTGGCTTTCAACTCACAGTGATCCTCCTACCTCAGCCTCCTGTTGCTGGGATTACAGGTGTGTGCTGAAACTTTTTTTTTTGGGTAATAGGGATGGAATAGGATGAAACAATTCTTATTAACGCATTGATGGGAGAAAGTGGCAGATGAACACACAGTAATTCTATATCTTTAGAAAGCTTTATAGTTTCCACACCCCTTTGACATGAATTACCTTGAACTTCAAATTTACCTTGTAAAGCCCTTATTTAGGGAAAAGGTCTTACTCTGATTTCACAGATTGAGACTTCCAGAAAGTAAATGGTCCAGGTCACCCAGTCTTTTGAAACCATCCTCCCTCCATTTAAGCTGAACACCATCCTGGCTGAGGCAGCTGAGTTCAATCCTTTTGAACTGGGTGTTGTGGTCCAGCTGAGGAATGCTGGTAGGTGACCCCCCAAACAGAAACTCCGAGGTGGCTGTGGTGTAGGAGCCGTCAAGATCCCCAGGAAAATCCCCACGAAGAGAAACACCTTAAACTGTCACGGAGCATTTCTCCAGTGCGCTTCTTAGTGGGAGAATACGCTCGTCAAATACATAACGGTAAGGCCCCGCTCCTATCCTTCCAGAGACTGAGGTCAGTATGGACACGTCCCTGGCCACATCTGCACCCCTTACTTTCAGAACAAGTGCTCCCTGAGGAGGCTGCACCTCATACCTACTTTCCAAGCGACCCACTTATTGGGCAACGAAGGACCTCTTCGAATGGATTTTTTGCTTTGTTTTGAGATACTGTCTATGTAGCTCAAACTGGCCTTGAAGTCAAGAGCCTCCTCCTGTATGCTAGGATTAGAGGCGCGCGCCACCGCACCCAGCTTTTCCATGGTCTTTTAGGGTTCCCTAACTCTCCACTAGGGCTCCGGGTCGCAGCCTCACACAGTCACCAGCCAGAACTGTGCTGTGGAACCACACATCACCGGCAGATGTCGCAGCCCCAACACCTGACAGAGCCACTTTCAAAACCATTAGGGCGCCAACCGTAGCCATTAGTGCCTGCTGCGTGCTCGCTGGGCACTAGGCGAGGCGCCGCGGGTCACCCCGCATCTGCTGGTTCATCCGGAATCGCGTCAGCGCGGGGAATAAATCCCAGTGGTCTCAACGCGGACAGCACTGTGTGTGGCCGCATTAACAGGCGGGGTGGCGTGACAGAGCCTCGCTCTCGGCTCCCGCCCGCTCCCACCCCGCAAGTCTCTGCGCGGAAGCCCGGGCTTGGCTGCCTGACCCCTCCAATAAGCGGCTACCGTGCACCTGGGGCGGGCATCCGGCTGCGCGGCGCTGGGCAACGTGGTGGTGGTTGGGGTGGGTGCGGTGCTAGCCCTTCCGGCTACAACTTCTAGAAGACCGGTCTCCCGCGAGGAGGCCCGGGCTTCTAGGGCCGAAAGTCAGGGTAAAGTTCCCTCGCGGGACTTCCGGGCCTGCGCGTTTGCCTCCCACCCACCTGCGCCCCGGGCCCCAGGTTT